TTTGCATTGAGAGAGCATCTCAGTGTTTTCTTTACTGAGGAAGCCAACCCCATGACAGTGAAATGTCAGGATGTGCTCTGGCTGGCAAAATTGTCTTACATGGCTTCAATCATCGATCATCTGAACAAGCTAAACATCAGTCAGCAAGGCAAAGGTGGGGATATTTTTACAAGTAACTAACTTGTAAAATAACATTTTCCATAGTTGTATTTTCTAACCTGGAAAATAAATGCATTTAAACTGAAGGTGAAAAAATGGAAAAGCAATGTAGAGAACAGGTGCTTTTCTGATTTTGAATTATTTGACTCATTTATGAGAGAATGTGGCTGGGAACACGGTATGCAGGCAACAGAACAGACACTGGAGGTACATATGTCACACTTTAGTTATCAGACACCTTACTTTAAAGCAAGAAAACCTTGACTTCTATTTCCCAGACAGTGAGAATGACCAGCTGACCTCCAGCATGTGGATGCTTAATCCCTTCACAGATGAAGCAACTGATCATTGTGATGTTCTTTTAGAGTCTCGAGCGGATTATTCACAAAAAGCAGTTTTCAAGACATTTAGCCATCCCATGGATTTCTGGGTTACCCTGCTTGTTATTGCAGAGTACAAGGATCTAGCTGAGCAGGCAATAGATATATTTGTACAGATGCCAACATCATATATTTGTCTGAGCCAGGGTTCTCTAGTTTAGTTTTGGTGAAGACAAAGAAAAGGAATGCAATCCTGAACTTGGATCCTCTCATGCGAGTTGCACTTGAAAATCGTCTGACACCTCGACTCAACCTAATAGCAGACAAAGTGCAACAGCAGCCAAGCCACTAACTTTTTTTTTAAAGGATAACCATTTGTTTTATTTATTGATACCGTACCAAATATAGCAAACATTGTCTGCAATTTTACTTTGGTGAAAGAAAAATGCGTCTAAATGGCACGCTTAATGTTATCTTGTGTATTGTGAGTCTCTTAGTTTGAGATGAGGTGTGTAAATATATGGATGAATATGTAAAAGTTAAATAAAAAATAAGAAACTTTTTTCTGTTTACACAGTCATAGAAATAAGATGAAGCATAGATTTTAAATATTAATAAAGTGAGATTTTTAATGAGACTTTTTCGGGGTGGAGGGTGGACAGCTTCTACTTAATCACCACTAGGGGTGGACGACATTAGAAAAGGTTGAAGACCACTGCTCTTATCCAGTGGAGTACCTCCCTTTCACTCCTGCCTGCATCTCCAGTTTGTGCACTAGTCTCTTATGTGGTATTGTGTCAAAAGCTCTCCGGCAGTCCAGAAATATGCAGTCTGCCCAGCCCTCTCTCCCTTGCCCGATTTTTGTTGCCTGGTCATAGAACTCAATTAATCCTGTTAGGCATGATTTGCCATCTCTGTACCCATGCTGATATTGTGTTACAAAGTTATTCCGCTCCAGATGTTCTACTAACTTTTTTCGCACAATCTTTTCCATCATCTTGCATGGAATGCAAGTTAGGGACACTGGCCTGTAGTTCAGTGCCTCCTGCCTATCACCCTTCTTGTATATTGGGACTACATTAGCCCTCTTCCAAATTTTTAGCAGTTCACCTGTTACTAGTGACTTGTTGTACACCATGGAGAGTGGTAGGCACAGAGCCTCTGCTCCTTCTTTTAGAATCCATGGTGAGATTCCATCCGGGCCTATTGCCTTTGTCACGTCCATATCTAGCAGATGCTTCCTCACCTCCCCACTGGTAATCACAAACTCCTCTAGTGGTGTCTGGGTTGATGTTCCTCTCTCATCTCTGGGACTTCTCCTTGCTCTGAGGTGAAGACTTCCCCGAATTTCTTATCGAATTAATCGCACACTTCCTTGTCGTTTGTAGTGAATCTTTCTGCCTCTATCGTCAGTTTCATTACCTGTTCCTTCACTGTTGTTTTCCTCCTGATGTGGCTATGCAGCAGTTTGGGTTGAGTCTTTGCCTTGCTCGCTATGTCATTTTCATATTGCCTCTCTATCTCTCTTCTCACACTGATGTATTCATTCCTGGCGCTCTGATATCTTTCTCTGCTCTCTAGTGTTCTGTTGTTTCTGTAGTTTCTCCACGCCCTTTAACTTAGTTGCATTGCTAGCTTGCAACCACTGATTGAACAATGGGTTTCTCACCTCCATTTTATTTTTTCCTTTTGGACTGGGGTGAACTTGTCTGCTGCCTCCTTACACTTCTGTGTGATGAAGTCCATCATGTCTTGAACCGTCTTTCCCCTGAGCTCTGTTTCCCAAGCTACTTCAGTTAGGAATTTTCTCATCTCTTCACAGTTTCCTTTCCGGAATGCCGGCCTCTTGCTTTCTGGTCCCTTCTGTGAGTACATTAACCCTTCTTCGACCAGATACTCAAACAACAGTACACTGTGATCACTCATACCCACGGGGGCTTCAAGACCGATTTCCCTTATGTCTGAATCGTTCAGAGTGAATACTTGGTCGAGTCTTGCTGGTTCATCATTGCCTCTCATTCTCGAGGGAGCCGGTGGCTGAGCGGACAGAACACTGGTCGCGTGATCTTGTGGTCCCGGGTTCGATCCCGGGTGCCAGCGAGAAACAATGGACAGAGTTTCTTTCACCCTGATGGACCTGTTACCTAGTAGTAAATAAGTACCTGGGAGTTAGTCAGCTGTCACGGGCTGCTTATGGGGGATTGGAGGCCTGGTCGAGGACCGGGCCGCGGGGACACTAAGCCCCGAAAACATCTCAAGATAACATCATGATAACCTCGTGGGACCCTTGACATGCTGACTTAAAAAGTTTCAAGTCATCACCTCCAACAGCTTCGCTCTCCATGTTTCCTCACCTCCATGTGGTTCCCTGTTTTTCCCAGTCTATCCTTCCATGACTAAAGTCACCCATGATGAGCAGATGGGATCGGTTTCTACAGGCAGCAGCGGCTGCTCTCTCAATTATAATGTTAACTGCTATGTTGTTTCTGTCATACTCTTGCCTGGGTCTTCTTTCATTTGGTGGTGGGTTATATATCACTGCTACTACTACTCTTGGTCCTCCCATCGTCATGGTGCCTGTTATGAAGTCTCTGAACCCTTCGCAGCCCGGAATAACCATCTCCTCAAAACTCCATTCCTTTCTCATCAGTAGAGCCACTCCGCCTCCTCCCCTTCCTTCCCTCTCTTTTCTTATTACAGTTTAGTCCTGTGGAAACACTGCATTCATTATGATTCCTGAGAGTTTTGTTTTTGTGAGTCCAATCACATCTGGGTTTACTTCTTGTGTTCTTTCCCTAAGTTCACTAGCCTTGTTTGTAATCCCATCTATGTTCGAGTACATGACCTTGAAGCTGACTCTCTTCTGTCCATCTCTGTTTCTGTTGATTCCACTGGAGTTGGGAGGCAGGGGATGTCTGGGATGGGTGAGCCTAGGAAGGAGGACCTGGGGGGTCTGGGGAGTGAGGGGGCTGGGAGGATCTGGAACAGGGGGGCTGGGGGTAGTCTGACGTGATGTGGCTGAGGGGTCTGGGGTTGGGGGTTAGTTGGGGCATGAGATGGGGGAGCTGGAGGGGCATGTAGTGGGAGGTCAAGGGATGGGGTATGCTGAGTAGACTGGGGAGGATTGGCAGGGAGGTCAGGGGTTTGGGATGGGAGGGGGAACCTAAGGAGGGGGGTCAGGGAGGGAGGGGTGGGGTAGGGAGGAGAGCTTGGGGTGGAGGAACTGGGAAGGGCACAGGCTGGAGAAACAGGGAAGAGCATGGGGTACAGGAACAGTGAGGATCTGGAGTAGGGTTTCTTGGGGAAGAAAAAGAGCATGGGGGGACAGGGGGGGGGGGGTCTGGGGTCAGGGAATATGGGGGGCATGGTCTGAAGGGGGACTTTACTGTCTGGGGAGGTGCAGGTGATTGGTGGGGGGATGGCTGAGGGGTTGGTTGGTGGAGGCTTCTGTTACAGTCCTCCCTGGGGGTGCTGGCCTGCTGGTGGGGGGATTCTCACTCCCCTCTGAGGTTCCTGGAGGCACTGAGCTGAGTCCTGTGGCTCCCATATCCGTACCCCTTTCTCTGTGCCTCCTCTTTACTTCTGCAGCCTTCCTTCTCTCCTCCCTCATCATATCCCTTCGCAGAAAGACGTCCTCGTATCCCCCTAACCTCACAAGTCTGCTCTTCCTGGATAGGATTTTCTCCTTTGTTGCCTCGTTCGTGAGCACTACCTTTATCAATCGTTTCCTTTCCTTCTTGTAGATGCCCAGCTTGAAAACCTTCTCTATGTTGCCACTTCCCTCATTCATATCCAGTCCCTCCAAGATCTCTGTCATAGTTGCTCGGGGCCTCCTCCTCCACTCCTCCCGCAACCCGTTCTCGCAAATTTAATAAGTAAATATTGACTTATTAAATATGTGCATAGGTGACATACTTAACATAATAGTTTCCCTTGAAAAGCTTCATAGAAAACACCGACCTTACCTAACCTACTTAGTATGTTAAGATAAGCATCTTATTGCTTCGTAATTACAATTATTACCTAACCTATACCTATAATAGGTTAAGTAACAATTGTAATTACGAAGCTATAAGATGCTTTTTTTAACATACTAAGTAGGTTAGGTAAGGTCGGTGTTTTCTATGAAGCTTTTCAAGGGAAACTATTATGTTAAGTATGTCACCTATGCACATATTTAATAAGTCAATATTTACTTATTAAATTTGCGAGAACGGGTTGCCTCCCGATTGGATCTCTCTGGTTTCTGTACTTCTATAACTATAACTGTTCTTTTCCTTTCCAGCATTTGTTTAGTGCATTTTGCAGCTTCTTGTGAGGTAGCTGCTTTCATAGCTGCTGCCTCTAAAGCGGCCTTGGCACCCGGGCTGTTCTGCAGTATTTCTGCAAAAGAGAGTCCCCCTGGAAGGAGCCTTCCATCAGCTTCGTCCCCTGTTTCCAGGAGGTTGCATACCCTGTGCTGGTTTGAATTCTGATTTTCCCTGAGTCTCTTTATCTCCTCTCTGGCTTCCTCTAACTCACTCCTTTGGCTCTGTATTAATGCTTGCATTTCATGCAGGTCTCTGCCAAATCTCTCTTTCATGTCCTGCAGGTCTCTGCCAAACCTCTCTTTCATGTCCTGCAGGTCTCTGCCAAACCTCTCTTTCATGTCCTGCAGGTCTCTGCCGAATCCCCCTAATGTCTGGTTGAGCCATACAGAGGTAGTATCCACCATTCTCCCTTATCCCTGTGCATGGTAATGTCCCTCCATCATTTTCCCTGGCTGAGGGAAAAACGTCCTGGCTTTTACTCATGAGTGTGTTTGTGTTTATGTGTAAGTGTGTTATATGTGTGTTCGTGCATGTGCGTGCGAGTGCGTGAATGCGTGTGAATGCTCGCGCGTGTGTGTGTGATTGTAGGGAGGGGGGTGGGGGGTAGGGGGTGGGAGAGGGCGGAGATGGTCACTTCAGGTCAGGTGGTGGGAGTTAGTAAGGAAACTGGAGGGGGTTCCACTGTGTATGAGGGGTTTGGGTGAAGGGGAGGAGGGATATCCGGTATGTTACAGAGGAAGTGTGAAGGGGAGGAGGGATATCCGGTATGTTACAGAGGAAGTGTGAAGGGGGGAGGGATATCCGGTATGTTACAGAGGAAGTGTGAAGGGGAGGAGGGATATCCGGTATGTTACAGAGGAAGTGTGAAGGGGAGGAGGGATATCCGGTATGTTACAGAGGAAGTGTGAAGGGGAGGAGGGATATCCGGTATGTTACAGAGGAAGTGTGAAGGGGAGGAGGGATATCCGGTATGTTACAGAGGAAGTGTGAAGGGGAGGAGGGATATCCGGTATGTTACAGAGGAAGTGTGAAGGGGGAGGAGGGATATCCGGTATGTTACAGAGGAAGTGTGAAGGGGAGGAGGGATATCCGGTATGTTACAGAGGAAGTGTGAAGGGGAGGAGGGATATCCGGTATGTTACAGAGGAAGTGTGAAGGGGGGGGGGGAGGTAATGTGTGTGTGTGTGTGTGTGTGTGTGTGTGTGTGTGTGTGTGTGTGTGTGTGTGTGTGTGTGTGTGTGTGTGTGTGTGTGTACTCACCCACCTAGTTTTACTCACCTAGTTGAGCTTGCGGGCGTTGAGCTCTGGCTCTTTGGTTCCGCCTCTCAACCGTCAATCAACAGGTGAACAGGTTCCTGAGCCTATTGGGCTCTATCATATCTACACTTGAAACTGTGTATGGAGTCAGCTTCCACCACATTACTACCTAATGCATTCCATTTATCAACCACTATGACACTAAAAAAGTTCTTTCTAACATCTCTGTGGCTCATTTGGGCACTCAGTTTCCACCTGTGTCCCCTAGTGCGTGTGTCCTTGTGTTAAATAGCCTGTCTTTATCAACCCTGTCGATTCTCTTGAGAATCTTGAATATGGTGATCATGTCCCACCTAACTCTTCTGTCTTCCAACGAAGTGAGGTTTAATTCCCGTAGTCTCTCCTCGTAGCTCATACCTCTCAGCTCGGGTACTAGTATGGTGGCAAACCTTTGAACCTTTTCCAGTTTAGTCTTATGCTTGACTAGATATGGACTCCATGCTGGAGCCGCATACTCCAGGATTGGTCTGACATATGTGGTATATAATGATCTGAAAGATTCCTTACACAAGTTTCTAAAGGCCGTTCTTATGTTAGCCAACCTGGCATATGCTGCTGATGTTATCCTCTAGATATGAGCTTCAGGGGACAGGTCTGGCGTGATGTAAACCCCTAGGTCTTTCTCTCTCTCTGACTCTTGAAGTATTTCATCTCCCAAATGATACCTTGTATCTGGTCTCCTGCTTCCTACCCCTATCTTCATTACATTACATTTGCTTGGGTTAAACTCTAACATCCATTTGTTCGACCATTCCTGCAGCTTGTCCAGGTCTTCTTGAAGCCTCAAGCTGTCCTCCTCTGTCTTAATCCTTCTCATAATTTTGGCGTCGTCAGCAAACATTGAGAGGAATGAGTCTATACCCTCTGGGTATAGACCATTTACGCATATCAGAAACAGGATAGGTCCAAGTACAGAGCCCTGTGGGACTCCACTGGTGACTTCACGCCATTCTGAGGTCTCACCCATCACTGTAACTCTCTGCTTCCTATTGCTTAGGTACTCCCTTATCCACTGGAGCGCCCTACCAGTTACTCCTGCCTGTTTCTCCAGCTTATGCATCAACCTTTTATGGGGTACTGTGTCAAAGGCTTTCCGACAGTCCAAGAAATGCAGTCCGCCCACCCTTCTCCTTCTTGCTTTATCTTCGTCACCTGATCGTAGAACTCTATCAAGCCTGTAAGGCAAGATTTACCCTCCTTGAACTCATGTTAATGGGTTGTCACGAAGTCTCTTCTCTCCAGATGTGTTACTAGGTTTTTTCTCACAATCTTCTCCATCACCTTGCATGGTATACAAGTTAAGGACACTGGCCTGTAGTTCAGTGCCTCTTGTCTGTCACCCTTTTTGTATATTGGTACTACATTAGCAGTCTTCCATATTTCTGGTAGGTCTCCCGTTTCTAGTGACCTACTATACACTATGGAGAGTGGCAAGCAAAGTGCTCCTGCACACTCTTTCAATATCCATGGTGAGATTCCATCCCGCCAACAGCTTTTCTCACATCCAGCTCCAATAGGTGCTTCTTGACCTCATCTCTTGTAATTTCGAACCTTTCCAAGGTCACCTGGTTTGCTGCCACCTCTCCTAGCGCTGTGACTTCTCTTTGTTCTATTGTAAAGACCTCCTGGAACCTTTTGTTGAGTTCTTCACACACCTCTTTGTCATTCTCTGTGTACCTGTCCTCGCCTACCCTAACCAACCTGTGTGTGAGTGTGTGTGTGTGTGTGTGTGTGTGTGTGTGTGTGTGTGTGTGTGTGTGTGTGTGTGTGTGTACTCACCTATTTGTACTCACCTATTTGTGCTTGCAGGATCGAGCATTGGTTCTTGGATCCCGCCTTTCCAGCCATCGGTTGTTTACAGCAATGACTCCTGTCCCATTTCCCTATCATACCTAATTTTAAAATTATGAATAGAGTTTGCTTCCACAACCTGTTCCCCAAGTGCATTCCATTTTTCCACTACTCTCACACTAAAAGAAAACTTCCTAACATCTCTGTGACTCATCTGAGTTTCCAGTTTCCACCCATGTCCCCTCGTTCTGTTATTATTACGTGTGAACATTTCATCTATTTCCACTTTGTCAATTCCCCTGAGTATTTTATATGTCCTTATCATATCTCCTCTCTCCCTTCTTTTCTCTAGTGTCGTAAGGTTCAGTTCCTTCAGCCGCTCTTCATATCCCATCCCTCGTATATCTGGGACAAGCCTCGTCGCAAACCTCTGAACCTTCTCTAGTTTCCTTATGTGTTTCTTCAGGTGGGGGCTCCATGATGGCGTGGCATACTCTAAGACGGGTCTCACGTAGGCAGTGTAAAGCGCCCTAAAAGCCTCCTCACTTAGGTTTCTGAATGAAGTTCTAATTTTCGCCAGTGTAGAGTACGCTGCTGTCGTTATCCTATTTATATGTGCCTCCATAACTTTACAGTTACTGGTGTTGAACTCCAGTAGCCATTTCCCTGACCATCTCTGCAACCTGTTTAAGTCCTCTTGGAGGATTCTACAATCCTCATCTGTCACAACTCTTCTCATTAATTTTGCGTCATCCGCAAACTTTGACATGTGTGATGTAAACATATCATTTACGTAAATTAGAAAGAGGATTGGTCCCAGCACCGATCCTTGAGGTAATCCACTCGTTACTGTTCGCCAGTCCGACTTCTCGCCTCTTACCATTACCCTCTGGCTCCTTCCTGTTAGGTAGTTCCTCACCCATGCTAGGGCCTTTGCGCTTACTCCTGCCTGCCTCTCAAGTTTGTAAAGCAGTCTCATGTGCGGTACTGCATCAAAGGCCTTTTGGCAGTCAAGAAATATGCAGTCTGCCCAGCCTTCTCTGTCCTGCCTTATTGTTGTTACTTTGTCATGGAATTCTAATAGGTTTGTTAGGCATGATTTCCCTGTGATGTGATTTCCCTGTTTCTATGATTGTGTGTGTGTGTGTGTGTGTGTGTGTGTGTGTGTGTGTGTGTGTGTGTGTGTGTGTGTGTGTGTGTGTGTGTGTGTGTGTGTGTGTACTCACCTAATTGTGCTTGCAGGGGTTGAGCTCTGGCTCTTTGGTCCCGCCTCTCAACCGTCAATCAACTGGTGTACAGATTCCTGAGCCTACTGGGCTCTATCATATCTACATTTGAAACTGTGTATGGAGTCAGCCTCCACCACATCACTTCCTAATGCATTCCATTTACTAACTACTCTGACACTGAAAAAGTTCTTTCTAATGTCTCTGTGGCTCATTTGGGTACTCAGCTTCCACCTGTGTCCCCTTGTTCGCGTCCCTCCAGTGTTGAATAGTTCATCCTTGTTTACCCGGTCGATTCCCCTGAGGATTTTGTAGGTTGTGATCATGTCCCCCCTTACTCTTCTGTCTTCCAGTGTCGTAAGGTGCATTTCCCACAGCCTTTCCTCATAACTCATGCCTCTTAGTTCTGGGACTAGTCTAGTAGCATACCTTTGGACTTTTTCCAGCTTCGTCTTGTGCTTGACAAGGTACGCGCTCCATGCTGGGGCCGCATACTCCAGGATTGGTCTTACATATGTTGTGTACAAGATTCTGAATGATTCCTTACACAGGTTCCTGAACGCCGTTCTGATGTTAGCCAGCCTCGCATATGCCGCAGACGTTATTCTCTTTATGTGGGCTTCAGGAGACAGGTTTGGTGTGATATCAACTCCTAGATCTTTCTCTCTGTCTGTTTCATTAAGTATTTCATCTCCTATTCTCTATCCTGTGTCTGGCCTCGTGTTTCCACTGCCTAGTTTCATTACTTTGCATTTACTCGGGTAGAACTTCAACAGCCATTTGTTGGACCATTCACTCAGTCTATCCAGGTCATCTTGTAGCCTCCTACTATCATCCTCTGTTTCAATCCTCCTCATAATTTTTGCATCGTCGGCAAACATTGAGAGGAACGAATCTATACCCTCTGGGAGATCATTTACATATACCAGAAACAGTATAGGTCCAAGGACTGACCCCTGCGGGACTCCACTTGTGACGTCTCGCCAATCTGAGACCTCACCCCTCACTCAGACTCGTTGTCTCCTGTTGCTTAGGTACTCCTGTGTGTGTTTGTGTGTGTGTGTGTGTGT